ATTTCTGTCGTGAGGCCCTACATGATGGGCTCGCTTCCCCATGACCACAAAGCACTCATGAAGGCCTGGCGATGGGCGAGAGCAGGAAAGGGTAGAGGACAAGGTGGTGAACGGCTGGATCGGGCCCATTTGGCTCGCATTGATAAAATAGAAGAGTCTCTGCCTAAAGTAAGCCCTTTCAAAAGAGAAATATTGCCACGAGCAATGACTTTTGGTTTGTGCTTTCATGTGTTTACTTCTCGGCTTCTGACAGCGCCCGTCTTTATAAATGTTGAAAGCGAAGTGCTTGTTTTCATCTGTATTTTTGTAACCGCACAAGCTATCTGATTTTATAGAGTGAAAACTTTGTTCTTCACCTTCTAGAGCTGTGTTATCAGTATAAAGCACGCTTGAAAACCGGAGCAATTGGCTTGTCACCGTCGACACCCACATGCACACGCCCCTCAGTCGATTGTTTTTTGCCGCCTAATTCTTGGCCATTTTCAGTCTTTTGGACTTGGTCGCTGCAATAAAGCTCATTCGGAGAAAGGACCTCGCGTCGTTCTTGGTGGCGCGACATCTGGTGGAGGTGCGAGGTATAGAACCCTAAAGCCGCTGAAACTCGTCAGGCAAGTCAAACTCGCGTCCGCTGCCGACAGCAAGATCTTCTTGCGGAGTGGTGGGCTGCTTCTGCAGAGGCTTAACAAAGAAGACACAGTTATGCACATGAACAACGCTGCCACCGTGACCAACGCCGCCAATCCTCCTGTATTTCTGCCACAACCCAAAGAGCCACCATCATTTCATGGGTCACCCTCTGAAGCTTCCGAAAACAGGCTAGAACAAGTCGAACTGGTTATATGACATGCTCATTAACCACTGGGAAGACGAGGAGACACTGAGACACGTTTTTTTCTACAAGGTGGATTCAGCTCGGACATGGTTTGAGAACCTCGAGAGCTTCTTGGAGTCCTGGAAGGGATTGTGAACGCCCTTCGTAACAATCGTTACCACGCCTACGCGGAAAGATCGAGTGTAGGTATTGCTGCAAACGCATACACAGCACCCCAACGAAGGTGTTGTGTTGCCCAATCAGCTTTCCCACGCAACTTGCCAGTGCTATTTGTCGGTATGAAGTCAGCTCTAAAGGTGATTTTCAAGGTTTGAAAATTGGAACCAAACAGCTTGTTTTTCATTCTCTGGGAAGAGCTCCAGCTGGCCAAGACTCATTAAACTCGTCCAGTAAGGCACTACGTGCGCGATCACCTAGATCGCAAAATAGGCGGTATGATATACCATCTGACCCGGGCGACGACGATCGATTACGAAAAGCAAGAGCTGCGTCCAGCTCTTCCATCGAAAAAGGCAGGCCCATGCACAGATAAAGGGAGTGTGGTGTGGTAGCACCAGTAAGAACCCCTGTGCAATGTGATGGGTCTGCAATCTTTGTACAAAAATCTTCCGCTATCTTGATGTCCTTTCTACGCCATAAAAGTGTCCAGGCCTTAAACGGAAAACGTTCGGGAAATGTGCGTAGGCCTCGCACGTTTCGCTATATTTGAGACAGTGGTTTTCGAGGGCCTTGAGAATTGCAAAACTTCGCCCACCGTTAGAACTCCACTTTATCCATACGGCGCTGATTATTCTTTTGCATGCGCCTTGCTACGCGTACATCTTCAATGGACTTTTTGCGTCGATATCTTCACTCTGCGCGCCAACGAATCGCGCGAAGTTGCTCTTACTCTACGTCCATTTCCGAGGGCCTTGAAGGGCAGCACGTCGGCGTGCAAGTTGCGCTCTGCGCTGCTTCTTTGATCGCTTTCTCAATGCCAGAGGTTAAGCCTTTTGCACATGGGTCTTCTATGGTGGTTGTTAATGCAGACAAATCAATCCTCCGGGTGGTTTTCGGCGGTTGACCACTGGCGAAGCCTTTAATGAAGAGATAACTGAGAATGTGGACGCTACAATGCGTCTTGATGTCTGAAAACCACTTGGCGCTTGTGGCGACGCGACGGAACACAAATGTCAAGTCCAAGCAGCTGCTGTACGTGGACTCTCGTAGAAATCCTATTTAAAAGTATGGCACATACGTCTATGGCAGGCTGTTGAAGGTGGTAATGGACCCCCATGCGCTGTGTTGTGTCGCAAACATGAAAGATTCGTCTGCACGGTTGGGACAATGAAACATGCGCCTGCAGGAATACGACGTCACGATCGTCTACAAGTCCAGCAGAAAACACTCGGACGACAACAGCCCATTACGTGCTCCAGTTAACCCACCGCCAATGAACCCCGACGACGACACTGCGTTTTTCAGCACCGTCGCAGAAACCGACCTAGCCGCTCAGCAGCATGCCAACCCTCACTTGCGCGCCATGATCGCCCACTTAGAAATACGCGAAGTCACCGTGCCAAGGGCATTTAAGTGCCAATTCACTACATTCTGCCTGAAAAATTCTGACTGCTGCTCGTGAAAACTTCGATCCTTCAGCGCGCACATAATACCTTTTCCTTACACCCGCTGGCCTCAGAGAATAAATCTTGCAAATGTGCCACGACGAACCAGCATCAATTCTCTTCGGCACGGCTGGCCCACACACTCCGATAGATGAAGTCAAATTACTGCTGGTCCCGTCTGGCATACGACGTCACCCACTACGTGAGAAGATGCCGTGACTGCCAGCAACGGAAAATGCCTCCGACCAGACCCACCAGCCTGCTGCAACCGATCGCCGTGCAATCGAGGCTCTTCCAACAGCTTGGCATGAACCTTCTTTGTCCATTCCCAATGTCAAGAGCCGAACAAGTGGACTGTCGTAGCCGTAGACTACTTGACGCTCAACGCAGAGACCGCTGTGCTGCCCAGAGGGACTGCAGAAGTCACAAATGTTTGTCCACCAATTGGCCTCAGACATGACGCCCCTGAAGTCCTGATCACAGAACGCGGATAGGCGTTCACTGCAGAGCCTATACAAGGAGTATTTCGCTACAGCATCACGGATCCCCGGAAGACCATGGCGTACCACCCCTAGACTAACGAACTCGCCGAACGTCTGAACAATATAACCATCGCGAATATGCTGTCTATGTACGTCGACGTTGCACATAAGACGTGGGACGCAGTACTTCCTTATGTAACTTCGCGTGCAACACCGCTATCCAATAAACAACGAAGATGACTTCATTTGAGTTTGTCTACGAACTACAGCCCACAGCGATGCTTGACGCGACACGAAGAAAGCGATGACCTTAGCACCAATGTTCAGGAGTACCTGCAACTTGCGGAGGAGGCGTGGCAGCTCACTCATTCGTCCGATAAAACCACCACTTACTGCATGCTGAGTGCTACCACTTGCGACGCTGACTATCAATCAGAAGATTTTGTGTGGGTTAGGACTCCGATTCTATCTCTCGGACTGATCGAGAAGCTCCTGCAACGGCGCTTCAGATTATACAGAGTTAAACGACGCTTTGACCAGCTGCTAGTATCCGGTATGTTTCCCAGTGTAGGGTAGCCTACCATATATTAGCATCTGGTTAACCTCCCTGCCTTCCATTCTTCTCGTTTCTCTCTCTCTGGTCAACTTCTCTAAGAGGTTGTCCCCAACGATGACACAGGCACATCACGACGACGCAAGCTACCCGACATTGTTCACGTGGTTCGCCTCAAGGTCCACCATGCCGGATGATGAACTCTATTGCATGGACTACCATTTTATTTTAGCATCGGGTCGATTCCTTCTAGGAGAAGGTATAATACCACGGGATTGCATTTTTTTTTCTTTTTTATGTGTTAACTCTCGGCGTCTGACAGCGCCTGTCTTCATCAACGTTGAAAGCAGAGTGTCTGTTTTCATCTCTGTTTTCATAGCCTTGCAAGCTATGCGATTAATAGGGAGAGCTATTCGTCCTTTCAGCTCTTGCGCTGTGCTATCGGCCTAAAAGCATCCTGCAAAACTGGCGCAACAGGCTTTTCCCCGTCGACGCCAACACACACGACGCTCAGTCGAATGTTTCTCAGAGCTTAATTTTTGGCCATTTTCAGTTCTCTGGAGAGGAAAACTTCCCTCCAATGAACCTCATTCGAAGAAAATACGTTGTGTCATTCTTTTTTATGCACCAATAAGACAATCCGGAACTGCCACTTTCTAGAAAGCATTTATTTTTTCCCTGTGTAAACTATCATCTTGCCTCTTCATGCCCGAGTATTCGGCGTCGCCCCGCCGCGTTGGTCTAGTGGCTAAGGTAATCGGCTGCTGACCCGCAGGTCGCGGAATTGAATCCCGGCTGCGGCGGCTGCATTTTTGCTGGAGGCGAAAATGCTCTAGGCCCGTGTGCTAAGACTTTAGCGCACGTTAAATAACCCCAGATGGTCGAAATTTCCGGAGCCCTCCACCACGGCGTCTCTCATAATCATGTGGTGGTTTTGGGACGTTAAGCCCCATATATCCATCATATATCAGATATTGGCGTAAAAGGATAAGAAAAAGTTGTAATGTCATTTGCACCGGTGGGGGAAAGAAAGGGCAAGATTACTACTGCGGCGCTGGCCGTAATCGTCAAGCCCTACTCGCTGCCTTTGAGAGGGATTGTCTATTGGCTCTGCATACTTCAAAGCCTGTCGCTATCACTATCAGGATTCTTCGTTATGTCATTATCAAGGCTTCTTCGTTAACCAGGTGAAGCTTTTTAAGGTTCAAGCATCTGTGCCTCAAGAAGATTTTTCGGACGTAAGCACTGCGTTGAGCTGTTGTATGTTGAGAGCACAAGTACTACTTCGGTAGTATCGCTATTCTAATACTACAATGATATGTTTTTTAAAGCAATCTGTAATAACTCAGTATTTTAAATTTCCCTAAATGTGGAGATCTGCTTCGTGTAGCCTCCACTACACGCGATGTGCGTCTTGCTATTTTCGTAATCATGGCAGGGGAAGCTCCCAGGCTGAGTAAATAGCCCGCTAGAGTTTTTATAGAGTTCAACACTTCAAGTCGACATGGACAAGACATTTTTTATTGAAAGAAACACGACACACACTATTATACAAACACATGAAGGAAAATAATGAACGAAGTTGAGCAGCACTGAACCACCAAGGCAGTACGTTTAGGAACTCGTGAGTCTTTGCACGAAAGGTGGCCATATAATAAGCATAGACTATCGAAGAGTGAGTGACAATCACGACGAATCACTGGTGCCAAGAATAAGAGAAACAATGAACATTAACTAAAGGAGTGTTTAGGCAACAATGAACTAGCATTCATCTTTGTTACATAACTTAATAATGCTTAACGATGCCATGACCACCATAGCCATGGTGTCCGTAACCTCCATAGCCTCCTCCGTAGCCGCCGTAACCTCCGAAACCGCCAAACCCACCGAAGCCACCGAAGCCAGTTCCGGGAATAGCAGCACCGAAGACGTGGGCCGCTTTGGTCGCTCCGGCTCCGATGCCGGCTCCAGCTCCGTAGTAACCTCCAGCTCCATAACCAGTGCCTCCAAGATACACTCCACCTCCATACACTCCAGCTCCATAGGCACCACCGTAGCCTCCGTAGCCACCATCATAGTGTCCGGCAGGAACGTGAAGAATAGGCGCATTGATGCCAGCAGAGGCGGGGGAGGATGGAGCAGTGCCTGGCTCGTTGGTGGACACGGCTGCGCGGAATCCAGCGCCATCAGCGACGTACTTGACGGTACGCCAGCGGCCGTCAGCACCACGCAGGCTGTACGAGCCCTTCTTGTTGCCCACGCCGTCACCGGATTCCCAGCGAGAAGTGCCGCCTGTGGCGTGGTTCTCATTGTAGCCGAAGCTGTAGGCGCCGGAGATCTGTTGCGAGGGTGGGTGAATAGAAAGCAGAAAAAAGGGGAATGTTAAGAGGCATGAGAAGTTCTCAACTGTCCCTGTGGTATATTCTCCCGTTGTGCAGTCCCGCTAACCTTATTTGTGTTCTTTTTTTAACCCCTTAACTGTATTATTAGAGAAACTGATAATAGTATTTTGAGTACATTCACACAGACTAAAATAAGCCAGTCTAGAGACTTAGACCTCAGATTTCACCGGTGTACATGATTTCCAATTGCTCCGTTTAAAGATGTTCATAAAGTCCGGCTTCGGAGCCCGAATACGAAACTTATATATTATATACCCTGCGTGGTGCCCTGTTTGTTGATAGTCAAGCTGAAGTATGAACAACCGAAGCATAAACGAGGCGTAAGTGCGGTACGATGCTCACATCTTGAGAACGGTGCTGGGTAGAAGTTCCTCCATGGCCACCACCGATGAAACCGGCGTGAGCGGCGGCACAGGCAACGGCGAGAACGATGAGAACCTGAAGAAAACGGCAAGACAGTTAGGTTTCGTTCACTGTGGTATACTGGTAGGTTCTTTTATTAAGTACAGCATTTTTTATCACCTCTTGTTTAATATACTGCGTGGAAAGGCTTTTTCGTTACTGCTTTCTAAATTTGGCTCTTCGAATATTCTATATTCTGAATCAACACGTCTCTAGCACCTTTAATGAGCTACATAGAACCTAGATGCCTACACCTCTGGGAAGTTCAAACATTTCTGGCTAATTAAAGGCACAATGTAGTTATTTAGTTGTTAGTACGACTACCGGTACTAAGGGCCAAATAAAGTTATCAAATATTCGTTAAAATCTTTTATTATATTGTAGCCTTCACATACCAACATCGAGAAGCAATAAGCGCGAACAACTTTTCAGACATGTTTCTAAATTTAGCGATATAGGTTTTCATGGGATACAAACAGAGCTGGGGGCTCCATCATTTTCTCATGAGGCGTCGTCGCCATGCTTATACCTTCATCATCAATTAAGGTTGCTATATTGCTAAATATAGGCTAAGAGTGTATTGCACAGATTAACTTTCAATGTGCAACATGCTTGCAAATAACACTATTATCGTTCAGCAGTGGGTCTTTTCGGGCCAGAGGTCACAATATCCAAGGACTCAGCTTAAGTTCGAGTTGCCCAGTGAACCATTTCAGAAGCCGCCGGTGTAGCGGCAGCCCGCCCCTGCACGATATTCTCACCTTCATAGCTGGTGGGTCGGTGGCGTGTGTGCCCGTACTCCACAGGATCTCTTCGACTCAACTGCTGAGACGGCTGAGTGAGTTCTGATGTCTCTGTCCGGCCAGCGGCCACTCTTATATACTGGTGGTCTCGGTTGGTGAACGCGCAATGCCTCACAAGCAGAGATCCGGGCGAGCTGTCAAGGGCTGCGATGGAAGCCGGACCGTACCACGTGACACGATCTGCAGTACGAGCAGCTTGCATGCAATAACTACAACACTTCTGCGACCTCCCCCCCCCCCCCCCCCCCCCCCCCCCAAGCTCTAAGCAACCCAGTCTCTGAACGCAACGCTGATACACCGGTTCACTTTCTATGTAAGCGCGCCCAGTCTCAGACGTTGCGGAGGAAAGAAGTGATTCCGACGCGCTGTTACGAGCTTGCACGCGCAGCGTGCGATCCAGTTCGCGGGGCCAAGAGCAGCAAATGACAGAGAATAGGACCCCGGCCCCTATCGGAAAAAAAACGAATGGTGGGCATGGTGGAAACCACCACCCACCATTATAGTGGATTAATGTAGTGGGTGAATGGTGGGAAACACCCACCATGGCGCATGGTGGGTATGGTGGGTGCTGCAGTGCCGGCAACACTTGAGCGCAAAATGACGTCAAAATCACCGTGACGAGCTGCCACAAAAAAAAAGAAAGAATTCTATAAAAACGGTATAAAAAAAGCCCGTCCCGTAAAAAAAAAAAAACAAGGCGCCACGGAGGATCGAACGTGGAACCTGCGGATTCGCATTCGAAGACGCTAACCACTGCGCCACACCAACATGCCGGTGGTTGCGTGTTAAATACTTAGTTGGCGTACAAACTTAAGGTTCAACTTAAGTTATGTTGGTCGTGTACACAACATAGACAAGATCTACACCTGCTACTAAAAATTGCACATTTATTAAACACAAGCAACTGCGCCCTGTAACGATTGCCCCTATGTTATTGGCACTAGTGCTATTTTTTTTACAATTCACAACTTAAAGGAAAAAAAAAAACAAGTGGACTGGGGAGCAGCAACAGTTTACCGGCGGGGTCTGCCAAGTTTAATATCCGTTTCGCGCTCGTTCTAAAGGGCGACATCTGCTCACGCTTTATGACGCTTCTAGGCTCATTTCATAGATACGCCCGCCTAATTTATTTGATTGAGTATTGGGATGCTTTTCGCGCAATGTAGAGGGCGGTCGCGCCAGCTCAATGCTGTTGCTCTTTCGCTAAAGCAACAACTACATAACGGCTTGGCCAAAACGAATGCAGTGTACCGGAAACATTACGCTATCATAATGGTTCACCAAGCACACGAATTGCCACGTCTGAATTCTCGTACAAAAGCTAGAGAAGTGCCGGCGAGTGCGACCGGCGGCTGTCGGTGAGAAGACACTAAATTACGTTCTCTGGGAGTGCTTTAATCGCGTCGCATCGATGTTTGTTGCTTCTTGAGCGAACAGCATACACAATAAAAAATGCTTCATTTAGGTTAATTGATGCCATATGGCTGCGCCGTATTGTCGTACTTAATCGTCGTAATCGTGTATTCTGAAACCCGGAAGCACGGATAACACAATTAGTCAGTAGGCCTAACCTTTGGTGGAAATCATGATGGTAGAACATGTAGTGTACAGATCCCAGCTTGGTACACTATATAATTTGCCCGCCATTATAAGCCCACCCATCATCTGCTTACTGCTTCCCAGCATTATCGTGATGGTGGGCAGAGCTTCTCAGCTTGGTACACCATGTGGCCCACCATAACAAGCAGCACCCATCATCTGCTTAGTGCTTCCCAGCATTATCGCAATGGTGGGAAGAGTTTATCAGCTTGGTACACCATGTAGCCCACCATAATAAGCACCACCCACCATATGCTTAGGGCTTCCCAGCATTATCGCAATGGTGGGCAGAGTGTCCCATTATTGCCCACTATCTAGCCTCTGCTTTCCACCATCATTTCCACTTTACCCATCATCTGTACACCATACCACCCAGTATGTCCCGGCATAACCACCATATTTTCCACTACGTCCCACCATAGCCATCATAATTTCCACCATGCCCACTATTATTTCCACCATGCCCACTATTATTTCCACTACGCCCACCATGTTTTCCAGTATCCACCATGGCAATTTTTCCAATAGGGGCGTGTCTGTCTGTGCGTGTCTCTGGGCCTAGCAAGCCGTACGGCTGATAACAGAGGCGGCAGCGGCGGAATTTCGCTGCCGTGCCGGGCTTCCTTTGTGTTCCGCGAGCGGGGAGACCACCCTCCCATTCTCCAATTACCCATCAATACCTTACCTTCGAAGCGCGTGAAGCAAAAGGTCCCATTTGACATCGCTTCCCTTAAGATGTTTATAATGCTTCTCTTTGGCTTACTTATATTATACCTTGAAAATTTAACATGTTGCTATTTGCCCGCCATTCTGGCCTTGGGGCTAAAGCTCACTGAACAGAAGGTCGCGGTATCAAATTCTTGCCGCTGCGGCCGCATTTCTCCTGAGAGTGAAAAGGCTTGAGGCCCTTGTGTTTAAATTAGGGTGCACGTTTAGGAACACCAAGGTGTCGAAATTTCCTGGCCGTCCACTACGGCGTCTTTCATAATTATGCGGTGGTTTTGGGACATCAAACCAGAACAATTGCCACTAACATGTTGCTTATTTACACGCACTAGTGGTTATGAAGCTCTATTGTTCACACACGGGCATATAATATGAGACATGATAAAGTAAGGCCTAATTTTATTCAAAGTGCGCTAGAATAAGCTGGGAGAAAGACCACATGATATTCGGCCTCTTCGGTTCAATGCGTAGGCACAGCTTTGACTAAGAAGCACATGCTTAACATGAGCAAAAAGCTATTTAGGATTTTTTCACCCAATCTCTGGAACTAATGTCTCCGTTTTTTTTTCACGGCTGACTCAGGGTAGATATATAGTTGTCGATTAAGCTTAGTGTATTATTATCTGGCACTCTCGCGCTAAAAAAGTGCCTGCCATATTTTTGTGCCAATGTGCGAGGCGGGGCACGGTGTGCTATACATAAACTTGCGTTGGGGGCCTTGGCTCATCAATTAAGATATCATTCATACAAAAACTGTAGTATCAGCTACATTGAATGAACGTGACGCTTCGTCAAGAAATGCTTCAGACCTAGAATCCTCCAATTCGCTTCGGTGTATCATTTGATTACAGTAAAGGAGAAACTCAAATAAGTGATGGATTGTGAGTGCTATTGTTTAAAAGCGGTGCTTTATCGGCTATCTGGGCTTTACACTCGTGCAAGTCACACTGCACATTGATTCGCCCAGCACAAGCTTCTCAGATTTCTTTTTTTTTTTTTGGTTTGAAGTTATGAGTCGTATCTCGTTGACGTTTGTAGTTTTCTTTCAGTCTGCTGAGCAAACATCGCAAATGGGTTGTAATGATTCGGTCATTGTATACATTACCAAATGTAAGCAAAATTGCCTGAAGCAACGCCTCCTTTATTTCTTTCAATGCCAGTGCAAACGCGTGCTTCTCAAGGGGAGACGTCACTCCGCTTTCAATGAAGGAGTGGTCGTGATGCGGCGCTCTATGAAGGGTCACGCTAATGTTCCTAGCAGAGGGGGCGCGTGCATCAAGGAACCTTTAGGAACCTTAGCAGAGGTGGCGCTCCCTTGCTACGGAGGGAACGCGCGCATCGAGGAGCCTTAGGTCTCACTGCTCGCGTCACACGTGCTTTCGAGCACTTTCTCCCGGAGATGTGACAGACGTGCTTCCCACTCCTATGTCATACGTCTGTCAGATGTGTTCCTTCGGGCTCCTTCTTTGTGGCTGGAAGCTATGTCACCGCTAGAGTTACTGTATATGCTACCTTTAAGTAGCTACCTAAAGGTAGCGCATAAAGTATTTCTAGTCACCACTGCCTCGCAGCACCCTCTAAGTTGGAGCATGCATTTGCGTTTCAGTGACGGTTCCCGATTGGTGGCCCGCATAGCGCCGCGAACGGCGACACGTGATCTCAAAACATCATCATCATCATCATCATCATCATCATCATCATCATCATCATCAGCCTGACTACGTCCACTGCAGGACAAAGGCCTCTCCCATGTTCCGCCAGTTAACCCGGTCCTGTGCTTGCTGCTGCCAATTTATACCCGCAAACTTCTTAATCTTATCTGCCCACCTAACCTTCTGTCTCCCCCTAACCCGCTTTCCTTCTCTGAGAATCCAGCTAGTTACCCTTAATGACCAGCGGTTATCCTGTCTACGCGCTACATGCCCGGCCCATGTCCATTTCCTCTTCTTTATTTCAACTATGATATCCTTAACCCCCGTTTGTATCCTAATCCACTCTGCTCTCTTCTTGTCTCTTAAGGTTACACCTACCATTTTTCTTTCCATTGCTCGCTGCGTCGTCCTCAATTTAAGCGGAACCCTCTTTGTAAGTCTCCAGGTTTCTACTCCGTAGCTAAGTACCGGCAAGATACAGCGGTTATATACCTTCTTCTTGAGGGATAGTGGCAATCTACCTGTCATAATTTGAGAGTGCTTGCCGAATGTGCTCCACCCCATTCTTATTCTTCTAGTTACTTCAATCTCGTGGTTAGGCTCTGTGGTTATTACCTGCCCTAAGTAGACATAGTCTCTTACAACTTCAAGTGCACTATTACCTATCTCGAAGCGCTGCTCCTTTCCGAGGTTGTTGTACATTACTTTCGTTTTCTGCAGATTAATTTTAAGACCGACCTTTCTGCTCTCCTTGTCTAACTCCGTAATCATGAGTTGCAATTCGTCCCCTGAGTTACTCAGCAATGCAATGTCATCGGCGAAGCGCAAGTTACTAAGGTATTCTCCATTAACTCTTATCCCTAACTGTTTCCATTCTAGGCTTCTGAAAACCTCCTGTAAGCACGCGGTAAATAGCATTGGGGAGATTGTGTCCCCCTGCCTTACACCCTTCTTGATTGGTATTCTGTTGCTTTCTTTATGAAGCACTATGGTAGCAGTTGATCCCCTGTAGATTTCTTCCAGAATGTTTATATATACTTCATCTACGCCCTG